GGTTGGAAAAGTGGGGGTCATCTTGTACATGGGGGTGTCTTATTGTCGGAAAAATACGGTAATGTTAACTATAGATTTAAAAGACTCTAAATTAACTAGATCCCCACTTCCCCAAAAACCATTTTAGAAATACTTGGAACTTATTTGCTTTTTGGTTACTTATATATGAAACACAGGATAATTTTCCTGATAAATTAGGACTCAGTATAGAAATATTTCAATTAAATACATAGGACATGTATCTATCAACTTTAGCAAAATAAGAGCATGTTGATAAAGTTGTAACATTTAAAAAAATAAAATTATCAGTCTTAAACACACCAAACATTCAAGCCAGTAGAGGTGGTTGTTTTTCCTACATTTTATTAAAAATTGGTAGATTAGAAACAATTTGACCATTTGGTATTGTGATTTATTTTCCCATAATTTAAAGACAGTAGGGTACTAAATAAATGCAAAATATTAAATTTTATGGAAGTATAATGGTCACATTAGAAAATGGCAATACTTCCACGATTATTTGATATGTGTTTACTCTGCAAATAGAATAACACTGCTATAGTTCCAGTCCTGGGAATACATTGACGCTTTAGTTTTCAGATTCACCTCTCCAAAGTCAGTGCTAAACAATTATCCACACACAGGCACCTCAAGAAGGGAAGGTTATGGCTTCCAGGTGAGGACCTATGGTTGGTTAGACATCCCTGCAAGTGTCTCTATGAGCAGGGACAGCACTTCAGTGAAGATTGGCAGCCAGGCAGCAAGTTCTGGCCAACGAAATTTTCTCTGGAGAAGGAGAGATCGAGAGATTGCCCACTTGTGCTCTGGATAGCTGCTCCTTGCAAGGGGACTGCAGAACTGAGCTTCTTGCAGTCAATTGTGGGTTAAAGTAGGACCTGAGGGATTACCATCACACTCAAAACCGCTATGCAGCCCGTATGGACCCACAAAAGCCTTACTTTCTTAAACACTTTCAGATATAATTAATTTACATCTTCATACTGGTACGGAAGAATAGAGATACTTGGTGAGTCGCCTTCTTTTTGGAATTAAGAATGGGGGGGGGGAACCACTATCTTGAAGTATTTTGACTTAAAAGCAAAAAATTGAACAAGATTGTGATTTAAGAAAGTTTTAAATGGATAAAAGGGGACAGTTATTTTAGAAAACAGAATAATAATATATATTTTTTTTTACAAAAGTGCCTTTCAAAATAGTAAAATTAACCAGACAAACAGACCAGACTTTTGTGGGAATGTTGACTGCTTATTATTAAGGAAAGTAGGCAATGGTGGATTTTACAAAATAAGAAAATGAGGATAATATGAAATAAAGATGAATTATGCAAAACAAAGAAATTTTGAATTTGCAAATAAACCAGGGAAATGGTTGGCATATAAGTTGTGAAAAAAAAGAACAGAAAAGAAAGTGATGCTAAAGTCACAAGAAGGAAATAATGTAATAACAGATAATGCTAATTTGTGAAAAGTGTTTCACCAGTATTCTACCTTATATAAAGGTCAAGAAATTTCCATGGAAAAAGTGGATGAAAGTTTACATAAACAGAAGTCGCCGAAGATTACAGAGAATCAGAGACAAATTATGAATGGACCTACAGTATATCAATAAGGGAAGTTTGTGATGCTATTAAAAGCAAGAACAGCACCTGATTCAGTTGGTCTGCTGGCCTCTTATTATAAATGTTTTGAGGATAAACCTTTACAACCTTCACAACAAATTATGATTATTATTTTATAGAATGGAAAGATTCGGGACAGCTGGAAAGAGGCCAATATAGCATTAATATCTAAAGAGCCCAGGACCTGACTTTAACAACAAGAAATTATCCACCGATATCTTTATTAAATAATAAGTTGTTTACAATGATTTTGGCTGAAAGACTGAAAATAATTTTACAGGATTTTATTCATGAAGATCATTGTGGGTTTTTACCTAAAAGACAATTACGAGATAATATTAGAAATGTGTTGAATATTTTGGAGTATTTGGAGCAGCATAATGAAAAGCAAGCTGCATTGATCTTCTTAGGTTCAGAGAAGGTCTTTGGTAATTTGAACTGGATTTTCTTGTTAAGAGTTCTGGAAGATATGAACTTTGGAAATAATTTTATTAAATGGGTAAGATAGATTTATACCTCACAGAAAGCGCAAATAATTGCTAATGGAGTATTAACAAAACATTGAGATTCAAAAAGGAGCAAGACAAGGATGCTGCTGTTTCCACTCTTGTTCGTTTTAGTTCTTAAGGTACTGAATAGAGACATAAGACAAGATAAGAAAATTGTGGGAGTAAAGTTTAAAAAAGAAACTTGTAAGTTAAGGGTATTTGCTGATGACCTGGTGGTAGTTTTGGAGGATCCGTTAGAGTAAAAACATTAAGGGGAAAATTAAAGGACTTTGGTATGCTAGAAAGTTTTAAGATTAATAATCAGAAGATGAAGATGTTAACAAAAAATATGAAAACAGAAGATCACATAGAACTGATGGAGAAAACTGGTTTTAAGATTGAGAAAAAAGTATAATACTTGGGTATTACTATGACAAATATGAGTAATGTTATTTCACAAATAATTCACAAGTATGTTATTTCAAAATAATTATGTTAAGACATGGAACAAAATTAAGAAGGACATGTTAAGATGGGAGAAATTAGTATGTTATTTCAAAATAATTATGTTAAGACATGGAACAAAATTAAGAAGGACATGTTAAGATGGGAGAAATTAAAACTGTCACTGTTGGGGAGAATTTCTGTGATAAAAATAATGTTTGTTTCAGACAATACCTTTTATGACAATGGATGTACTTATTCAACCAATGACAAAAAGATTTATCTAAATTTATTTGGCAAGGGAAAAAATCACGGGTTAAATACAAAGTTTTACAAGATACAAAGGAAAGAGGAGGATTGGGTTTACTGGATTTGAAATTGTTTTTTTTTTTTTTTTTTTTGCTGCTTT